ATCAAAACAGCATTCTGCACAAACAGAAAAATATCCACCATCCTAAGAAACCCCAAAGACAAAATCGAATTAGAAAACCAAGGAGTATACGAAATCCCCTGCACTGCCTGCCCTACCACATACATTGGACAAACTAACAGAAGAATAAGTGCACGCATTGAAGAACATAAGAACTCAATCAAAAAAGAAGAAACGACCTCTTCCCTGGTCCAACACCTCAAAGCCACAGGACATGAAATTGATTTTAAAAATACCAGAACTATCGCCAAAACCGAACACTTCAACAGCAGAATAATCAGAGAAGCCATAGAGATAGAAAAACGCCCACACAGCATGAACAAACGAGATGACACCTCCCGCCTTCCAGCCATTTGGAAACCCGCCCTCATGAACAGACGAGTACCTAACATGAAGAAGGACACCAGACCCACACCCATGAGAGCCACACAAGATGCCACCACCACACTTCCATATAGAAAACAGACTCCCACCCATTCAGAAAATGAGACACGACCATGGACCAGAAGCTGCACTGCAGCTGCATCACTACCCACTTCAAACCCCTCTGAGCCATACATGAAGCAAACCGACACCCACTATGAAGATGCAGCAGGACCACGAACTAGAAGCCAAACAGCAAGATCACAACTCTCCAGCTCAAATCCCCCAGCAACTAAGACTAACCTGAGCACAACCAAGCCCCCACCTGAACAGAACACGCCTCCAACCAATCAGAACACGGCTAACCCTCCAACCAATCAGAACACAGCCAAACCCCCTACCAATGAGAACACCCCCCCACCCAATCAGAACACAGCCAAGCCCCCACCCAATCAAGTCCCACCCCCACTGGCAGTTAAAAGGAGGAAGCAGCTGCAATCTCACATTACTCTGAGAAGCACAGAGCCGGAGACAGAAGCCTGAAGATGATGAATGAGACTTCATCGTAACGTTGCCTAGATACTTCGAATCTTACGCGGGAGAAAACCCGAACAACCAAAGATCCATATATATATATACATACATACATGTGTGTGTGTGTGTGTGTGTGTGTGTGTGTGTGTTGGGGGAGGAAGAATGTGGGTTTTTTTAGCCGTTTTTCAGCCTGGCCTTCTTGTTCTCATTTCAGTAATAACTTCCTGGTTAGGTAATTAAGTCCTACATGTTAGATGATGCAAGAATCAGTAACTTTCCTTCACAGCAATGCATGATTGTGCTTAAGTATGCAAGACAAATGTTTCACTTGGTATTTTAAACAAAATGCTTTGCTTTCCCGGTTATTATTCAACTTCTCAAGTGTTGCCTGCCTTTGGGAGTTTTCTTAGGAAGCCGTAAAATAAAGTAGTAAAATAAAATAAAGAGTAAAGTAAGATAAGGCACAGGTAACCCTCAACTTACAACCGTTCGTTTAGTTACAACATCAATATTATACAATATTATAATGTCTGGGATGCCTGGTATGAATGGTTTAAGAATAAAAAGAAATCAAAATGGCAATTAGATAAAGAATAAGAAACTATGTAAATACTTGTATCTATAGTCATATCTATCTATATTTATTTATATATTAAGTTGAAATTGTACAATGAAAGAAATGTGTATATAGAAAGATGATAAGGAAATGTAAAAGATGTCTTGATGTTGATATAACGATGTATAAAGTTTTATTTTGTTTTTAAATTTTGAAAACTAAATAAAATTTAATAATAAAAATAAAAAATAAAAAATAAAAGCAATTTCAACAAGTATCCAAAAAGAAAAGTTACGACATCACTGTAAAAAGTGACTTATGACAGTTTTCACACTTACGACCATTGCAGCGTTTCCTGTGATCACGTCATCAAAATTACGCTGCTTGGGAAGTGCCTCATACTTACGACGGTTGCAGTGTCCTGAAGTCACGTGATCTTTTCCTGCGACCTTCGGACAAGCGAAGTCAATGGGGAAGCCAGATTCACTTAATGACCGTCTTACTAACTTAAACATCTGCAGTAATTCACTTAACAACTGAGGCAAAGAAAGGTTGTGAAATGGGGCAAGACTCACTTAACAAACTGCCTCAGTTAACAACAGAAATCTTGGGCTCCATTGTGGTTGTAAGTCGAGGATTACCTGTAAAGTAATAAAAAATAAAATCATAAAATATAATACAATTCAATAAATGAAATAATAAAATATAATTATATATAATTAAATAAATACCTTAATAAAATAATAAAATAAAAAACAAAATAAAATTGCTTTTTTGATGTGCTGGAAGAAAATATCCTTCTGGGTTCAGTTCCAAGTGGGGAAGAAAGACGCTGGAAACATGGTGACTGCTTGGAAAGATGGTTTAATGGTGGACAGGATCATGTTCCTTGAGTGAAGGGGGAAAAAGAGGGAAGAGATGCTAAGAGTCCCTGGGTTTTATGCCCTCTGTTGGGATTTGAATTTGAGCTTGTGTTCTGATTGGTTGTCAGACTCCCATGGGGCCATGCAGGGACCGCTCGGTAGGCTTCCTGAGTCCCAGGCTTGGTTGAGCCTTGCTGGATGATGATGATGTAATGAAAGGGCTTTAGGCAATTCCTATTATGGGTCTGCAGCTGAAGAAGGTAGATCTTTGTTATGTAGAATAGACTGGCCTAGCTTTCATGGCCCATTAGCAAAGGTGAAGGTGGGCTGAGTTTCTGCCTCTCTGAGTTTCTACTTCTCTTTTAGGGGAAATATCCTGTCCTTTTAGTATATCCTACAATATTTCATTTTTCTAGGAGAGGGGTGGGTTATAACTTCTAACAGGTGCAACACCCAATACCTTATTTTTCTTGCTTCCATCTTTATATTAAAAATGCTGGGCATTACTCTAATAAAGACTTGCATGGATGCAAATGTTTCGTTGATTCTGCTGCATTCATTGAATTCATTATATCCCCATGATTACTCCACCCCTTAATTGTTGCATGTCAGATTTGCAGGCAGGCAGGCAGGCAGGCAAAACAGTTCTAGATCTGGTCAGTTGCTCTGCCTATTTTCTCCGCAAACCAACCTCCTGCTTTCCAGCAGCAAACACACTTCGATAATCTGGCCTTTTGCAAATTTCTAAAATCCCACACGGTGGTTGTTTTTTTTTTTTTGGCTACTCAAGCATTAGGGAGTGCCCCCACTGAGAGCGGGGGAAGGGGGAATATTATGTGAATTATTTTAATAATGTAATTGGATGCTGGAATCCAGGATCAAAAGTGGGTCATTTGAGGATAAAGGAAGCTAAGGGAAAAAAGAAAAACCATTCTAGGCTTGCGTCTATAAAAAGTGGCTCTGTCTGTAACCAGCTCAGGAACAAGGGCCTTGCATAACCAATCCTTCAGCCTGCATACATAATTCTTTGCAGCTAGAGAAATAATCTCTCTGGGGAAAAGACGCTGCTTGCTTTCTACACCAAGGGGTGTGGATGTTTTGAATTTATTTTACATTTCTCCCCAGGAAAGTGGCATAGATGCGGCATAGATGTTTTCTTCCATAAAGAATACAGACTAAGTTTTGGAACACAATACCCCAGCTATCACGACTGTGGAGAAGAAAAACGTGTGGATCGTCGACATTGCCATACTTGGTGACAGCAGAATCGACGAGAAACAATTTGAAAAAGTCACCAGATATCAGGACTTGAGAATTGCACTGCAGAGACTCTGGCATAAACCAGTGCAGGCGGTTCCAGTGGTACTGGGCACATTGGGTGCTGCTGTGCCTAAAGACCTAGGCAAGCACTTAAAAACAATTGGCGCTGACAAGATCACCATTGGTCAGCTGCAGAAGGCCACCTTACTGGGATCTGCTCGCATAATCCGCCGATACATCACGCAGTCCTAAACACTTGGGAAGTGCTCGACTAGTGATTTGTGATACGAAACTCACCATAGTTATCTTGTTTGCTGTGTACACTGTTGTTTTTTGTGAATAACAATAACAATAACAGCAACAGCAACAACAACAACAGCAGCAATAACAATAGCAATAGCCATAGCAATAACAACAACAATAACAACAATCACAATCACAATCACAATCATAATAATTGCTTGTATGTAGCAATATTCTTCCAACTTCTAATTTCTACCTCTATTATCTAACCATTGGTAAAACAAATCTCATATTGAAAAATATTCTGTACCTTCTTTATTTTTTATTTTTCATTTTAATGTATTCAGATTAGGGTACATGTTAAAGTGACAATGAAGTGATTCCCTAAGTCTACTCTAATTAATAGACAAGTCTGCCACCTAGTGGTGTGATTATGGAACTACAGTTTGGGAATCTGGGAGATTACAGAAAGGATGGTGTGCAAGCAGGTGTGATTTTTGTGAGTGTGAGTCTCAGACAAGAGCTTCTTTGTGAAAGTAAAATCTCTGTTTCCTGCCCCTCCTCCTTCTGCAGCACTTTGGTAGTATGGTGTTGTGGGAAGAAATATCCACCTGGTTCAGTTCCAAGCTGGAAGAAAAACACTGGAAACATGGAGGCTGATTGGAAAGAAGGTTTAATGATGAATGCACGATCACCAAGCCCATGATTCTGGTGCAGCTGGTCACATGGAGTTGAGAGTGTGTGTGTGTGGGGGGGGTTATACCTTCTCTTGGGCTTTGCGCTTGAGCTTCCTGTTTCTGTGCAAGAACATGCATTCTATTGACTGTTGTCAGATTCCTATGGGCTCATGTAAGGGGTTATGTAGGGGTCGTACCTGGCTCTATAGGCAAAAGAGGAAATGCAAATTGTAGCTAAGTTTGGTTGAAGTTTGGACTGCTGAAGGGGCTTGTGTTCTGAAAGGGTGTTGGGCAATTCCTATTGTGTCTAAATGGCTTTCATCCTGTTTGGATCTTGAGCGAGAACTAATCTTACCATTCTGCGTTTGTTCGGACTTTGCTGCAGGGAGTTTCAAAATATCCTGTCTTGAATGGATTTCTGCCTGCAGTGTGTGTTTGGCTTATGAATAGAGCTATCTAGATATTTGTCTTCATTTTTCAATAAGCTCTTTATCTCTTAGGTACTGGCATCGGCCGTGGGTTATTAAGGAAAGTGGGGGTTGCTTTCTGCCTCTAAGAAAACAGGTTTCATTTATTTCTCCCTTTGGGGAAATATAATATTCTACTTTTTAATATTTCCCAAAATATTTCATTCTGGGGAGTGTTCTGACTCTCTACAGTGTGTTTTTTCCCCCAGCGGGATTTGGGGGAGTCCTGCTTCTTGGGTTTATTTTGAATTTATAAGCTGCTTACCTTGAATGAAGTTCTAAGCACGCCTTAATTTGGAATGGTGCTTCCCTTCCTTTGGCAACAAATGCTGGTCATAAGTCCCGATTGTCATAAAAGCGGATCACCCAACACGACCAAGCTGATTTTATGACTCTTTTTTTTTGTGGTGGTCATTAAGCAAATTACCATGATTGCTCAGCAAGTCATTAAACTGCCACCCATTGGTCATTAAGCAAACCCATTGTTTTTGCTGAAAATTGGAAGTCAAGGCAAGGTTTCGGCAAAAGCTTCAAAAATCATGGTTATATAAATGTAAATGCGGCCTTAGGACCCAAATTACTATCACTTGATGGTGTGTGTTGTGGGTGGGGAGAGAGGCAGCCATTTTGGAACCGGATCATAAGTATGGTACCTCTTGAATGGTCTGTTGTAACTTTGTGTCAACTTATAAAATATTTCTATGGTCTTTAAAAAGAGTTGCCAACTGTTCTGACCCAAACCTGGTTCCAAGAGGGTAAACATAAGACGAAGGTAATAGCACTACCTTTTACTGTTTCATTAACGAATCCTGTTTTTTCCCAGCTAAAAGGCTGCTTCCAACTCATTAGCTCCGATAAGAAAGAGCCTCGCCGAGTTTTTGCAAGGCTGCCAAGAACAACAAATAAAGTTTCTAAACAGTAAATCAAAGAGTCTCCAAACACCAACTCGGATATTCCTAACGTCCACCAGGCTCGAGTATCAAACTTCTTTGCCTTCTGCAAAGAGCTCCGGTTTCTCAGCTGGCTTTTATCTCTTAAGGGAGGGGCCATCACCTTCCAGCCTTACTCCCAAGTCACCTGTGCTGCTGCAGCTGCTCTTTCTTTCGAGTAGCCCTGTGTGCATGTATACTGGGCACGGGCTCCTCGGGGTGCTCTTCATCACTGCTGCCAGCCTCCACAATCTCTGCAGGCAGCACTCCACTCCCTGATGGTCCTGGCCCCATCCCTGCATCACACGCAGGCCCCTCATCTGAGTCCTCGTTCTTCGAGACCTCAACCGTCCGCACCTGCTGCCGGCGAACCACAACACCAACGGAAAGGGAGGGGGGAAAGGGGTTTGAAAGAGCAGTGTGGCAGCTTGGAAATCGAAAGTGCATTCCATAAATAGTTTTTCAAAGATAGTAACTAGGTGACTGAAGTTTCTGCCGTGCAAAATTCTAATTGGAGAACATGATTGATGACTCTTGGCTATGGCACCAAGCCCCGTCATCTTCTCCCTCCCAGCGGTGGGCTTGGTAGTTATAACTTTGTACTACTACGGTTTTATTCACAGTTGTCCACTAGGGGGCACTAGGAGACTGTTTTTCTTTCTGTTAGCACTGTCAGAGGGTTGCCTAACAAGTTCCAGCTGTGTGAAGCGGGGGGGGGGGGAAATACCCCCTTGCCAGCAATCAATTAACCCAGTTAAGCAGAGAGGAGACCACCAGGATTAGAAGTAGAACAACAATCAAGCGGTAAATGATACTTCAGTCAAGGAACCACTAAGTCAGGCAAACAATCAAAATAGTAAATAGCAGTCCAATCAAGAACGCAACACTCCCATCAACACTGACAGGTCAAACCCCTTGTATATAAACAGAGAACCTCACACCTTATATGCACTGATGATGGTACCTAGTTCGGTCGTGAAACGTCTGCAAGAAAACAACCAAACATCAAAGACCTCACAGTTCCTCCTCCTCCTCCCCCTCCCCTCTCCTCCTGCTCCTCCCCTCTCCTCCCCCTCCCCCTCCTCCTGCTCCTCCCCTCTCCTCCCCTCCTCCTCCTCTTTGAAGACCCCACTCCCTTCAAGCACTGATGATGTTACCTAGTTGGGTCGTGAAATGTCTGCAAAGAAATAACCCTGCTTAGAGAGCACTAAGGATCCCAGTCCTCCTCCTCCTCCTCCTCCTCCTCCTCCTCCTCCTCCTCCTCTTCTTTGAAGACCCCACTCTCTTCAAGCACTGATGATGTTACCTAGTTGGGTCGCGAAATGTCTGCAAAGAAACAACCAAGCTTCAAAGACCTCACAGTCCTCCTCCTCCTCCTCCTCCTCCTCCTCCTCCTCCTCCTCCTCCTCCTCCTCTTCCTGGTGATTGGTCCAAAGTCACCCAGTTGGCTTTCTTGCTTAAGGCAGGACTAGAACTCACAGTCTCCTTCTTTCTAGCTTGGTGCCTTAACCACGCCTAACCAAACCGGCTCTCTCTCCTCCCCTTTGCAAGATTAAACGCCGTTTGTGGAGGTTACAAGGCAGATCTGCAGACCTGACCCTGACAACAGCGTTAATTCATTCACACCTCCACAACCACCGAGGCCAAAATGTAGGGCAAGCAGCTGCATTGAGTAGAAGCACGGTGCGTTACAATGGCATTTGTGGTTTTGCGAAGCAGTGAGTCAGCCGGAAATCCCATGATGGATACTGCAGAATGTCTGCTACTCAACAGCCGCCACATCGGAAGGAGCAGAGTTGAGAACCCTGAACACAAATTCACGAAGGCTCAGGTCTCTTTACTACTAAACTACAGGTAGCCGTTGACTTAACCACAAATTTCTGTCGCTAAGCGAGACCGCTGTTCCGTGAATTTGGTCCCGTTGTACATCTCACTTCCGTTGTTAAGTTAGTAACATTGTTGTTAAGCAAAACTGGCTTCCCTGTTGACTTTGCTCCTCAGAAGATCACCAAAGCTAACCCCAGAACAATTTGCAACCGTCATAAATATGAGCCAATAGCTAAGGATCTGAATTTTGACCATGCAACCATGGAGAGGCCAGGAGTGGTGCAGTGGCTAAGAGGTGGAGCTCTCGCCTCACAATCAGGAGGCTGTGAGTTTGATCCTAGGTAGGGGCAGATATTACTCTCTCTGGGCACAGAGAATATATCTGCTGGGGAAAAAAACCCTCCGCATTGGAGACAGGAAGGGCATCCGGCCAGTAAACACTCAGCTCCATTCAGTTGTCCAGACACCATCCCAAAAGGGGTTATGGGGGTCATTATAAAATGAACCATGATGTCACCATGGTAGTGTGAAAAGTAGACATAAGGCACTTTTATTTTTGGTGCTTTTCTAACTTCAAACACTCACTAATGAGTTGTTGTAAGTCGGGAACTACCTGTCGTGCCCCTGTCGGAGTCTGAATCTGAGGAGGAAGATGGACAGCTGATAGGAGTGGGAGTTTTGCTCCCTTGTCTGTGGAGGAAACTGGGGAAGGGCAAAGTCCAGCAGGGGAGAGGTAGGGCAAGGGAGAGGGAGTTCAGAGGAAGAACCAGGCCTACCCCCTCTTCATCCCAGGGCACGCAGGGAGGAATGGAGAAGAGAGCAACATGAGTTGCATGGCTTACGGGGGAGGAAAGGGCCCTGATTCCCTTCATTAGCCACAGCTGGGAACGAGAGTTTAAAAGAAATGTATGCTGAGTGCGGCAGCTGCTAGGAATGTGAGTTTATCTTGTGTTGACTTTGGTTATCTGTTTTCCTGGTGTCCTCCCAACAGTATTAAGTTATTGCCGTGCCTTGTCTGGAGTTCTTGCTCCTGCCCTACCGGACTAATTACCTCATTTTCCCTTGATTGGACTTATAGTTACAGTTTTTCTTGACCATGTTTTGGATTTGATTCTCTGCAGCCAAAGGCTGTTCCTGAGAGAGTTTTTCTCCAGCCAGAAGGTAACCAGGACACTGAGGGCAAAGTTGGAGCTAATAAAGGGACTCCTACTGATTATCTGACTGTGTTGCCTTTGTGCCACGCCCCTTTGGGTCATCACACTACCTGTACAGAGGGATATGTTTGTGTTTAATCAAGCTGATTTGCAACGATCCCCAAATCTTTCGCTGGAGCACAGAAGAATAACAAATAGAATGAACTGGAAGGGAAAATCTGCATCAGACAGTTGAAAGCACTAGAGTGTCAAACTGTACATAAAATAATTCACCACAGTGGTTATCAATTATCAAGAATTGACAAATGCTTTAATGGACAACTGTTTTTTTAATTACTCTATACAAACATTACAAATAATCATTTTTAATGGGAAAAAAAAACCCAATCCATATTTGCAACTCAAACACACCACAATCCAGTTTTTCTAGCCCAAAAACAGCGGATACAGGAGATAACGTGAAATTACAGTTTTTCAAAGGAATTCCATACACAGATTCAAAGAAGTCCTGTCTTTTTTTCCCAGTGGGGAAAGCAGAGAAAGTAGGTCTGCAGATTTGGAAAATCTGGGGAGAGAAAAGAACTTTGGGGAAACGAAAAATGGGTGCCGAGAATTTTTCTAGCGAGACAAAATCTGCACGAATGTTTTCAGAAGAATGGCGTGCAAAATAGAAGCTAGCAAGGAACATCTTTGACATATGTCCTGTGAACTTTGAAGGAAGGTGGAGATAGCCATAGCAATAGTGCTTAGACTATTGCTTAGACTTACGTACTGCTTCAAGTGTTTCATAGCCCTAAGTGGTTTATGGAGTCAGCTTGTTGCCCTCAACAATCTGGGTCCTCATTTTACCCACCTTGTAAGGATGGAAGGCCGAGTCAACCTTGAGTTGGTGAGATTCAAACTGCCGAACTGCAGACAGTTGGCAGTCAGCAGAAGTAGCCTGCAGTACTGCACTCTAACCACTGTGCCACCACAGCTCTTCCTTCCTTCCTTCCTTCCTTCCTTCCTTCCTTCCTTCCTTCCTTCCTTCCTTCCTCTTCCTTCCTTCCTTTCCTTTCCACTAAGCAAGAACACATAGACTTATATACCGCTTCACAGTGTTTCATAGCCCTCTCTAAGCGGTTTACGGAGTCAGCGTATTGCCCCCAACAATCTGGGCCCTCATTTTATTGAACTCGGAAGGATGGAAGAATGAGTCAACCTTGAGCCAGTCAGGATTGAACTGCTGGCAATTGGCAGAATTAGCCTGCAATGCTGCATTCTAACTACTGCGCCATCACAGATAGATGATAGATAGCAATAGCAATAGTGCTTAGACTTATATACTGCTTCACAGTGCTTCACAGCACTCTCTAAGCAATTACAGAGTCAGCCTATTGCTCCACCCCCACCAAAAAAAATCTGGGTCCTCATTTTACCCACCTTGGAAGGATGGAAGGTTGAGTCAACCTTGAGCCTGGTGAGATTTGAACTGCCAAATTGCAGGCAGCCGACAGTCAGCAGAAGTAGCCTGCAGTACTGCTCTCTAACCACTGTGCCACCATGGCCCTTCCTTCCTTCCTTCCTTCCTTCCTTCCTTCCTTCCTTCCTTCCTTCCTTCCTTCCTTCCCCCCTTCCTCCCTCCCTTCCCACTTAGCAAGAAACATACTTATATACCGCTTCACAGTGCTTTCCAGGCCTCTCTAAGCAGTTTACAGAGTCAGCCTCTTGCCCCCAACAATCTTGGTCCTCATTTTATTGACCTCAGAAGGACGGAAGGCTGAGTCAACCTTGAGCTTGGTGAGATTTGAACTGCCAAATTGCAGGCAGCTGACAGTCAGCAGAAGTAGCCTGCAGTACTGCACTCTAACCACTATGCCACCATGGCGCTGCTTCCTTCCTTCCTTCCTTCCTTCCTTCCTTCCTTCCTTCCTTCCTT